CCTCCTATTGTTTTGAACTTCAGTTCTCAGAAGTCACTGGCAGCTTGCCCTATAATCAAGAATTCTGAGAGCTGCAGTCCAAGCCATCTGAAGGACCAAAGATTGGGAACCACTATATGACGGCATATGGGCTGGGAGGAAATATATGTTAAATAAAATTAATCTGCATAGTCTCAAGTATCTCCACAAAGCTGAGTGTCATACGCATACTAGTGGCACCTGTTCCCCCAAAATCCTAATGCCCTTACTTAGTGGGAGGATAGAATGGAACTCTATAGATCTTACACCTTAATAGTCATAGGGCTGGACTGGCATTCCACAGTACCACTCTCCGGAATCATCCCATACATAGAAAAAGAACCACCACAGTACAGTTCTCCCTACCCCAACCTTGCAGAGCTCATCCAGTAGTATAACATGATCAGTATCAAAGATGGTGGAGATCCAAGAGAATCAACACTGCATCTAAGACTTCAGTACCACATCACATCTAGAAATGAGATTGAAATGGATGAAGATAATCTGTTACCTACAAGAATGTCTGAAGCTAATCACTCACCAGATACTTGAACATCTTATCCAAAAGGGTGACATTGAAAACGAGGTAGTCATTTTTACATACCTCTGGGTCTAGAAAGGTACTTTTCAGAAGGGTGTGCATGTAATACCATTTCTTTCAAAGTATTAAGCACCATCCCCTGGACCCACTTAATCAGTTTATCTATACTAGATGTTTTCAGCCAAGATAGGCACAGCTCAAGCTTACACATTATGACAGAGGCTGATTCAAGTGTCTTGTCTACATATCAAAGCTTAGCAGGTAAATTTGATCTGGGATAGAAATCCTCATAAATTTCATTTTCATACACAAATACAAATGATTTATCTCCTTGGTGTTTTCTGTGCAGAAAAAAGACATTTTTGTGTATGTGTGAAGAAAAACCATATAAGTTTTGCACACAGAATTAAGTTCCAAACTGTAAAGATTCTTGTTTGTTCAGGATCCTTCTTGTCAGGATTTCCCAACATTCAGAAACCCCACCATCTATCTATTATTGAAATATTTTAAAACAAAGTAACACATAATTAACAAATTAGTCACATAATTGCATTACATACAGGATATCAAAGGCCAATTTCCCCACAAATGTTTCCTTATCCTAATTGTGGCAGAAATAGTCTCATGAATTTAAATCTTTCTTTAAAAATAAACAAACCTCCAACAACTTTTATTCCTTCCATCAGTAATGCTTCCTTATTAAATATAGGACCAAGTACATTGTCAGAGCGCTGGTCGTGTGGAGCGACGGGCACTCCGATGATGTGTTCGGGAAGGGGTTGGGGCACTCCCCTTCCTAGCCTCCAAGATGGCGTAAAGCGCCTTCTGCTTCCCCCAAAAGCAAAATAATACTCTCTTTCCCCCCCTCTCTTTATATATATATGATGTGCAGAGATAAATGTGATTCCTTCAGTTACTTATACTTGTTTAATTATTTATGGAAGAGAGTTTGTTAATGCAAAACTCTGCAATGGGAAGCAGTTACATATTTTAATCTATATTTAAATCTATATTTAAATCCTATATTTGGTCCTATGGGAAAGGAAATAGTCAGTCAGATTAAGCTAATTAAAGACAGCTTCTATAAATACTACAAAGATTTATACCAACAAAGAGAAACTGATTCAAAACAGATTTAGGAATACTTGAAGCAAATGAACATGTCAAAGATAACACCCCAACAAAATCCACTTCTTTATGAAAAGGCCAATGATATTTGTGTAAAAAAAAATTGATATAATTTTGCAGCTATTTATCACTTGATTCATTGCCATTTGATAAAACTGAAATCTGCATCAGGGCCATACTGGAGAATATCCTCAGGTGCACATTTTCAAAGTCTTGGAGGTCAGCAACACATACATGATTGATTGACCTCAAAGCATCATGGCAGAAAATCTATCCCATGTCAATCAGGCCAGAGGAGTTACCATTTAAAAAGGCTTATGATAGATGGGGGCAGCCATGGAATGTGTGAGATGGAGCTCCAATTTTTCATTGGAGCTTATAGCAAAATGTCACTGTATTCATTTGTAATATTCATGTACATGCTACTTGTGAAATTTCTGCCCATAGTCTTGGAGGGCAAACATCTGTTTCAGAAGACCTAGGCAGAATGTTAGACATATTTAGCCAAAGCAAAATGACATTTCCTCCTCCTTGAATGAAGCTAAACTATTATATTAAACCCATGAAAAGACAGGCATGGCTTTTCATAGTAGTCAAGGTAGGGTAGTATTTGGAGAGGATACCAACACCTGACACCTTCATAACATCTTTGATCATTCCTCAGAAACAACTATATCTCTGGTTGTTCTGAGATATAAAAAAAGTAAAGTTCTAAAAAAGATTATCTAAAAATACTTCTCACTTGTTCTAAAAGACACTTCACTCTTGCAATATATTCATGAATATATCCCAAATTCAGCTTTAAATCTCACCTTGAACTCTTTCCTACCCACACCTACCCCTCAACTCTTATTCTCGCTACACACTGAAACAAGAACCCTTGTTGCCAGGGTTCTTGTTTTTTGTTGTTGTCCTCTCTTTCTCTTGATATAGAGACTTGAGATGACTACCAACCAATTTAAAACAGTGTAAATTAAAAGCAATATGAAAGCATTAAAAAGTATAAATATAAAGTTTAAATGAATTAAACAAGTGAAAAGTGAAAAGCATTACAAATTAAAATAAAATGTATTAAAACCTCTATATAAACCTTGGCATCTGAATTGCACAGCATTTAAAAGCCTAATCCACACCAGTTTGAAAAAGCCTAGTGGCTGAAAAATGTTTTTACCTGCTATCAAAAGGAGAGCAGGAATGGAGCCATCCTGGCCTGTCTAGGGAAGGAGTTCCTGAACTTAGGGGCAACCACCAAGAAAGCCCTCTCTTTTGACATGGATGTGGATGCTCCATCTTATTCAGGGAACCCCTGTAGTTGAGAAACCACCACACATGCCAGTACCTTACCCAAAAAAGGAAGGTTGAAGACTGGCCAATAATTATCCAGTTTAGCAGGATTCAGAGAAGTTTGTTTCAGAAGAGGTCTTACCACAGCATGTTGGGACCTTGCCTTGTTGTAAAGAGGCACTAATCACTTCATTTACCCACTCAGCAAGAACTCCTCTGGCCTCAGGGTTGAGTACTATGGGCTTTCTTTTATTAACTGTACAATAAACAACTTAATTATGATCACTATCATGTATTCCTTTTTACTCTTTATATAGAACTGTTTTAGGGCCATGGTGGCAAACCATGAGAAACCACCACACACTCCAGTACCTTGCCCAAAGAAGGAAGGAGCCATGTGTGCAAGAGATGGCATGCAAAACCATTTTTGTGGCACACGAAGGGTGGTGAGGAGGAAAAGTTGGGCTTTCAGCTGACTACACAGAGGCAGCTGAAGGTCCAGGTGGGAAAAGAGGAAGAACAGGC